TTATTTTTCTCCATTCATTTTCCATGTTATTTGCAGTTTAGGCAACAACCACAGTCGTCCCTGTCCTAAGAACTTTCTTAGTGTCGGACTCTTTAGCTGCAGATTCCGAGTATATCTATTTCACTGATTTTACTCTTTGAGGATGAAAGTTTCCATCTTTTTTCGGTGGCTTCATCCATTTCGATATGTTCTTGCCGGCACTCTTGACTACAAAATGGTGTGTTCCCTCTGCAATACCATGTGCAATAATGTCACTATATTTATTAATTTCCAAATCAAGAATTCTACAATAAAAATAATAGAAAGGAAAGAAATTTATGATGTAGCTAGCTAACTTGTACATGAATATGCCGTGGTTATGGCTGAGTGGTTTGTGGCAAAGGTAGCAATAATAAAAAAAAATGAGGTTGATAGTTTTCGTAATATCCAGCTGACCCCATTTGAAGTGGCGGAGCAAGTGGTGGCCCGGCGGCGAAGAGAGCGTGTATTAAGGCTGAGAAAGCTGTGAGTGCGGGAGAAGGGAAATAATGGGCTTCTCTGGTATTATATAAGGGGAAAAAATGGTCATGAGGATGGGAAGGGTTACTATTGTGTGGTGCATGGACCAGAAAGACCAGCGAGTTTAACAAATCAATACTTCACCATCACCTTTTACAAAAACCAGTGGCTGCTCCAACGAACTACTCTTCTTATTTGTATAAATTACACTTACTTCACATACTTACCTTTTATTATTTTTTAGCTTCTTCATTTTATATTGCACACATGTTGTGGAGGTTTCAACTTTCAAGATTTGGAAGTTTTATTGTCTCCCATAATTCAGATGCAGATATATAAAAAAATATATTGAAAATTCTACTAATGACTAATTTATTAATGTACATATATTTCTATCAATTAAATCTGATTTTTCACACCATTGATCCAAATAAAAGAACTGTTCTTAGATGGAAAAGAAGATACTCAGAAAACTACTTAAAACAGGGTGGGCATAAAAGTAATATGAACCCATTGTAAATTGTAATTGAGCATTTAGTCGGGTCATGTCATCATACCCCAAAATTCCATAAGACTACAAATAACAATAACCATCAACAAACCTGGTGTGTTCAGGTGGAGGAAA